GATGTGTGCCCTATTGAGCATTGATTGTAATTATAAAGAGGAAGTCTATGCTACAAAATTAAGCCAACCTCAGTTATGTCGATGTACAGCCACTGCTGCAGTAATTAAACTAGTCTGATTTAAGCAATGCAGCATCCAGGTGGATGTTGCATTAACCTCATTGTTATGCCTCCTGTGGAGGCAGCGTTAAGTGGGTCTAATGGGCAACTTAACATCAGCAGAAGCAACACTCTAGTGTATATGCATACAGTCAGGTTGATGTGAAACAGTTTACAAATGCTGTAGCGTAGGCTAGGCTTTCATATCTCCTGCAGGGTGGTATGTGACAACCACCCCACCCACCTTGTTTCTAATACCACAGAGCGTCTTCCTTAATGCTTTGCTGACTGGGTCAGTGTTTTATTGCACAGTCTACAAAGGAAGTGAATTTTCCAAGCTAAATAGAAAATTGCTACTGAGATTATGCTGATGAAAATGTCACCTATACATTTAATGCCTTGAGCAGTTCCATTTAAAACCAACAAAAGGAAGTTTTTCTTCATGCAGTGCAATGTCAACCTGTGGAACTCCTTGCCATAGGATGTTGTGAAGACCGGGATTTTAACAGGGTTCAAAAAAGAACTAGATACATTTATGAAGGATAGGTTTTATCAATAGCTATTAGCCAGGAATGGTGACCCTAACCTCTTTGTCAGAGGCTGGAAATGGATGACAAGAGAGGGATCACTTGATGATTACCTGTCCTGTTCACTCCTCAGGGGCACCTGGCATTGGCCACTGTCAGAAAACAGGATACTGGGCGAGATGGACTTTCTTACGTGGATGGTCATTCTTATTTCTAATCTCTCGTCCCCTTCTCATTCCCACTGAAGAGTTTTTGAAGAGGAACTAGAGAGGTTGCATTAGTATTTAAGAAAATCAGAAGCCAGTGGTTGGTGTCCATTATTGGAAGTGGACATGTCTCAGTACCCTTCCCATCACCATAGTGATTAATCCTGTGGAGCTGAAACTGAAAGAAGTGTGGGAAGCACCAGATGGCAACTACAGAAGGCAATACAATATTTTGTCAAATCTTAGTTAGCCAGAGAACATGTCGTGCATGGGAATGAAGACATCCTCTCCAGAGGAAACAGGACATCAGCCTAATCAGAAACACAAGTGTGGATGGAAAGTCAAAAGGAGCAGCAAAAACAGCTCGCAACCCTCAAAACCACCAATACTGTTGAAATGGAGTGGTGGTGTAGCTGTGGGATATCAGAGAGGCCAGGTGCCGGAGGTAATATCCTTTACTGGAGCAACTTTCGTTGCCTTGTCTTATGACTACAGGGAAGTTCAATGAGCCACTTCACTTTGGATGGTTCTATAGCTTAGTCTACGTGCTAACTAGTTATGCTCTCTGTTTAACCTTGTAACTTTCCCAGACGGAAGGGGAACTCTTTGTAGCACAAAAGCGTCTCTCCTTCACCAACAGAAGCTAGTCCAAGGGAGAGAGAAAGAGCGAGCCATAATTGCCTCATAGCTCAGTAAAAGATGTACACTTTAAAAGACACTTTGGTGACAAATAAAAAGATGGACAGTGGCAAAATAACCATCTCAGTAGTGTCAGTACCAAAACTACTTCAAGTAATATATTTAAATGCCTTTAAAAACGTAACATCAGCTTTATATCTTCAGTTTTTTTTAAAAGGAAAAAAATTGTTGGAAAGGAATAGTTAAAAAGGAAAAAAGAGAAAAAAATTACACTTGCTGTTTCTAAGTCGCAAATTCATGTGTGTTACTACCACAAGCTACAAGGTTTGAGGCAGGAATGACTAGATAGACTTTTATGCCCTATGTTAGATAGTAAATCAGAGTAGAATATCATAGCCTTAAATTATATGAAAGAAAAGTCTGACTGCGATGAGTTAGAATGGCCAGAGTAGCAATATCAAAGAAGAAATGTACTGGAAAGCTACGCCTACCATTAGATCAGAAGAAAAAGAGTTGACTAAATACAAAGTGTTAATTTTCAGTGTTTGGTCTTTGCACAGAAGTGGCATGGGTATAACAAACCAGTTAAACTGGTTCATTGTATACACATTCTGACGGGTTTAACTCTGGTCACTGAGTTTTTGCTCCTGCCTGTATAGTCCCCTTACTAAAGGGGCCTCTGACTTTTACTGGGAGGATCCTTTGTGCTGCAATTTAGCCCTAAAGACTACAACTCCCATGAGCCCTTGGGAAAAAAAGGGGGGGAAACAGGCATGGAGCGAGAGAAAGTGAGTAGTCTCTATTTTTGGAAAGAGAAGCCAGGCTGCTGGTGAGGAGCCTTTTTCCAGTCCAGGAGCTATTGTGTTGCAGCTAGAGCTTGCAGGGCTTGGAACTAGCAAGCTGCTTCAGGGGTTGTTGATTGTCTCTAGAGGGCAGAGTCTCTGGCTGTGTCTGTGGCTAAGAGGGGCCTGCATAAACCTGCACAGGGGGAATTGTGAGTAACCTGGCTCTTTGGGAAAGTGCTGCCTGGGATAGACCTCAGAGAATAGACTGACCCTGAGTCCAAAGAGATGCAAAGTGACCAGCCCAGTAAACCAGAGCTACTGGCATTTGGTGGAGCCTGCTCCAGTGGCAGAGGGACTTTGAAGCTGGCTGCTCAGCTTGGACTAACACACATAGAACCTGCACAGTGCTGTCTCCACTCCAGCTGTAGACCTTCAAGCACACCCACAAGTATGTAGGACTCTGAATCCAGAGGAGGGCATGCTCTGGGATGGGATAAATAGTGGCAGTGTAAATGCCAGTTAGGTAAGTTGCTTTTCTTTGGGTACTTTTTAATTGATTTTGTTCACTTTGAATCTGTTCAACCCTGTTTCTTTAAGTTATTAAGTAAAGGTATGTTCATTCTAATGTAATCAATTAGATAGATCTTATTTATAATTGTCTTGGAGTTAGTTCCAGATTACTGGAGTAATTTTATTCCTGGAGGCTCCCAAGGCACATAAGTGTGTACAGGGCCAGCCAGGTGGAGGCACCACCACTGTATATTCTTTAGGAACTAGGAACTGCAGCAAGGGGGTGGATAGGGAATTCCCAACTAAACATCACCACTCAGGTGCTACGTCTACACTGGCATGATCTTGCGCACGAACTCTTTTGCAGAAGAGTTTGTGTGCAAAAACTCTTCCAGAAGAGAGCGTCTACACTGACATGTGCCTTTGCACAAGAGATGTGCTTTTGCGCAAGAGAATCTGTGCCAGTGTAGACACTCTCTTGCGCAAGAAAGCTCTGATGGCCATTTTAACCACAGGGCTTTCTTGTGCAAGAAATTCATGTTGCCTGTCTATACTGGCCTCTTGCGCAAGAACAGTTGCGCAAGAAGGCTTATTCCTGAGCAGGAGCATCATAGTTCTTGTGCAAGAAGCACTGATTTCATACATTAGAACATCAGAGTTCTTGCGCAAGAACTCGTGGCCAGTGTAGACAGGCAGCAAGTTTTTGCACAAAAGCGACTGCTTTTGCGCAAGATCACGCCAATGTAGACACAACCAAGGATGTCCTTTTATATTAAAACATCAGGCATCCAGGCACATACATGTGTGACCTGCTCCTGAGTAACCCAGGGAGAAAAAAGGGGGGTTACACCTGTAAACTTATCAGTGCAAGTTATTCAGCTGCAAATGAGGATTAAACAACAATAAACCATTTTGCATGTGTTACACTTTATTAAATCAAAATAAAACAAGGTCTTTAGATAAACTGTATGATTGTGTAGAACAGGCCTTGAAGATCTTGGGCAAGGGTGTCATCTAATATAAGTAGAACTAGACATATTTATACTAGCTGAGGATCTGACCTATGTGTTGCAAACTCACTAGATTTCGTAATGTTAAACATGTTACATAGAGATGTCACATGAAAGTAGTATTCATTTGGAGCAGTACATGGTTTATCCTTCAATGGAGAGAACAGATATGGGAGAATGGGGAAGGAAAGAGAAATGGCCCAAACTTTGGGATTTACAAAAATCCCAAAGCTTTACTATCCTGCAGTTTTAAGAACTCTAGTGGGCCCAAGTCAAGGACCTCCCAACTCTGGCGAGTGTAACATTGCTCACAAGTAGTTTTTTGACACACATGAGGATTATTGAGAAGAGCCAATGGGCATGAGGGGCCCTTTGTATTGGGTTGCTTCTTTTCAATTAAATAACTTTTAATTTTTCCAAGTCTCTTAATTGATTCCAGGTCTTTTAATTAACCTGTGCTGTAAGCTTATTCAGCTTACATCAATCATTTTCTGACTGGGAGACATTAGGGGTATGACTAGAATTAGTAAAAATACATTGAAAAATCCTGAGCACCTTCACTTCTTGAATACTACAGCTTTTTTTTACTCTCAGGCCAGCACTTCTGGAGAACTGAAGAAAGCACTACCAGTAGTGAGCTGGCTTTTTTCAAATGCCTTGAGGGTGGAATGGGCTCCTGTCCAGGACGTGTGTCATGGGAGAATGCCTTAGTTACTGAGACAAAACTTCTCCTTTGCTCTAGCGGGACCCCTGCTTTCAGGCAGACTGCTCACCTCGGAGGCTCACAGCAGCCCTCAGTTTAGATGCTTTCAAGGGCACAAGCTTGCTGTTCATTTAGCCACCTTCCTCAGACAACATGGGGAACAGAGAGCAGAATTAACCCCATAGTCTCCACTGCCCCTCCAAAGTGATTCAGGGACAGGACAGACCCTTTTCCAAATTAGGCCATCTCCTATGATGCATCCCACTGTCAGAATCAAGCTCACAGCAGCCCTCAGTTTAGATGCTTTCAAGGGCACAAGCTTGCTGTTCATTTAGCCACCTTCCTCAGACAACATGGGGAACAGAGAGCAGAATTAACCCCATAGTCTCCACTGCCCCTCCAAAGTGATTCAGGGACAGGACAGACCCTTTTCCAAATTAGGCCATCTCCTATGATGCATCCCACTGTCAGAATCAAGTCTCCCATGGTGAATAGGGAGTTGGGGATGCGGGGGGGCCACCTACTCTAGGTTCCAGCTCAGGGATCCTGCAATGCCCCCAGCACAAGTTGCATGACAGCTACAACTCCCTGGGCCATTTTTCCACAGCAACTCCCTAGCATCTTCCTTACCACAGGCTCTTCTTCTAGGTACCTGCTAGCACTTGACCTTCCCTAACCAGCTCCTTACATGCAGTCAGCTTACAGAAGGGGAGCTTTTTTAACCAGTATGGGCTGGTTCTTCACTGGCTCCAGGTGTCTTGATTAGTCTGTCTTCCTTGATTCTGGAAGTGTCCTAATTGACTCCAGGTCTTTTAATTAACCTTTCTGTACTAATTGATTGTCTCAATTGACCTGTCTGCCTTAATTGATTCTGGCAAGTTCCTGACTGTTCTGGATTAGCCCTTTTTACCTTACCCGGGGAAAGGAGACCTATTTAATCTGGGGCTAATGCACTTGCCTTCGATTACTCTCCTGCCACATCTCGCCTGACCCTGTCACATTACCTAGATGAAGTTGTATACTGATCCAGTGAGATTTTTCCATGTGATAATCACACCCGAGTTGCACGCTAAAGCCAATCCGTATGAAAGTTCAGAGTGAAGTGTGTCATACCAACAGGCAGCACATGGGAGTGGGGTGGTAGGCTGGGGGAGGGGAGAATTCATGCTTGAGAAAAGATTCCTCCTAGGTCAGCAGATTGCCTCGTGTTGCCATCGGACCTGCAGTGATTACTCAGAAGTCACATTACTTAAGTTGCTTTAACATTAAATCACATAAAGCTCAGGAGGGTAAAAGTCAGTACCAGCAGGAGCACTGAGACATTGACTTAAGGGGCCACCCCCAGCTCTAACTTCTGTTGCTACGGGGCACTTCCATCTCACCCAATAAAACTCACATTCCCTACTAGATTCACCAATGCTACTTCCCTGAAGTCCACAGGAGCCACACGTGCATATCTGAGAACAGAATGAATCCCTAAGGGACATATATAGGCTCAGCAATGGCCTGTCCCTATTGATAGGAGGGGGGGGCAGAGTGAGGGCAGTTGGCTTCAGTGGGGTTACTGAGCATGTTCAGTCTGTGTTCTTGCTCAATACAAACTAGGCAGTAAATTTGGGGGAAGGGGACTTGACACTGTATGTGATTTCCCCCCCCACCCCCAGTGACTCTGGATGTCAATGGGAACTGAAAGTATGAATTCAAGTATCCGATCCTTCACTTTTCCAAATCTCTCAAGGCAAAGGGGGGAGGGGAAGAGAAAGAAATGAACTTGGTCATGGTGGTTGGTTCCTCATGTTTAACCCCTTGTGAACAGACTCCCTGGGAACTATTTTAAACAACTTCAAATCCAGCTGCCAAGGCAGGGAACTGACTTGCCCTTGTGAGGACATGAAAGCTTGTAGCACTGCATGCTTCCCCTAATGGTAATTCTTCCCAAAGAATGATAAACAAATGAGTGTGGGGGATTTAAAAGTGGTAGGAGTCCTTAGAGAGCCCAAGGGGAAGACTTCACTTGTTTCCCTTGTACAAATGAAATGTGTTTAACTATTATATAGGGTCCCAGAGGCTGGCAGTTCTTTACTTAGAAGTGAACCATTCTTATTTACAAGATGGCCTATTATGTGTAGTCATGCAACTGGCTGCTGCCAACACACTGAATGGCTCTGGTCTATTTCCTCCTGCTTCACAACTGCACATTAGAAAAGTTCACAGAGCTCTCCAGGAATAAAGCAGAACCGTCCATTGGCTAAAAGTATAAGTCTTGTCTTCTGTCGTGAGGCTGGATACCTGAAAAACACAGCAATATGAAAGTAGTCAATATGTCGTACAGCACCACCATACAGGTCTCCTCAGAAAAATGACTTTTTTGGCACCTGGGGGTCATTTCATTGGGGCTGTGCCAGTGCAGAGACAAATCGGCTCATTGAAAGTGTAAAGAAGACACATGACCAGAGCCACCTCCCATAAGAGGAGGGCAAAGTGAACATGAAATACAGGAAGCTTGAAGGATGTGAGGCTTATTGCTCCACTAGCACTAGCATGGTCACCGCTGGTGTCAGGCCTGGTGTTTCTAATATCTCTACTACAAAAAGGAGACAGGCCTATGGTCAATCTACCCTAAAGGTAGACAGTTGAGAAACACAGATATGAAGTGTCCTGACTAGCATAGCAAACCACAGCCTCTGCAAAGAAAAATGACTAGTCCTAGAAGTGTGTAATACACCTGGAACTATACCTTGTTGGGTAGACAGGTGTATTGCATGAAGATTACAGGAGCTCTTTAGGACGACCAGCCCAGGCCCTGCCCTCTGGGGGTGGACCTGCGGGTGGCAGAGCAGCCTAGAAGATTACCGGGGTGGTCTGGCGCTGGCAGCAGAGGTCAGGTCTACCCTTGCGCTCACCACTACTGTAGGAAGTGGAGCAACCCAGCAAGCTTCCTCTGCTACACCCTCTCTCAGCCAGTTTGCTCCGCTTCACTGCGGCAACCGAACCCACTCCGCTCTCCCGGGTGATGTGGCTGGGAACCATGCATTTGCAACCCAACCTTCAGCACAGGCGTTGCAGAACCCTTGCACAGAATTAGGTGCTTTTATAATCATAAGTATCAGCAGTTCGAGACAAAAGTCGATAGTGCCTTGAGAAGTACCCTCTTGGTTAGAGACAAAAACTAGAAGTCAGAATTCCTAGACCCTGCTTATAGACCATAAAAGGAGAATAGTCACACATCCCAGGGCTGTAATGACTCTGTGTGAACTTGAGCAAGAAAACTTTTCTGTGCTATAGCTTGCGCATCTGCATAGTGGCATACGGCACATGGCTGGAAGAGCTTTTCAAACATTATCAAGGCCTCACAGAGCTCCTCAAAGGGAAGACAGTAGTAGGAAAATGGAAAACCTTTTCTCTCCAACAGGTTTTCCCTGCCATTTTACATTTTTAAAGTTTCAGCCAACTCTGGTGTTAGCTGCAATGCTTCTCTGTCCCGATCATAGAATACTACAACTGGAAGGGACCTCAAGAGGTCATCAAGTCCCATCCCCTATCCTCACGACAGGACCAAGCACCATCTAGATTGGGAATGGAAGACTGGGACAAAAGCCTCTGAGGAGGCCGGATCCAGCCCAAATAAGGCTTTGATGCGGCCCGTGTGGCAGTTCCAGGCCCCACCCCCAGTGTGTTGCCTGAGAGCCGGAGACGCGCAAGCCCTTTTAACTGCGTCTATTTAAAGGGCTCGTGCCTTCCCCATGCCGGTCAAGCAATGTGTTTTAAAAGAAGCAGTTAAAAGGGCTTGCACATCCCGGCTCCCTGGCAATGTGCTAGCAGTGCTGGGAGCTGCAAGCCCTTTTAACTGCTTCTACTTAAAGATCTTGTGCCTGCCGGGCAGTTGCGTTGCCTGGCAGCCATCCAGCAGGTGCAAGCCCTTTAAATAGAAGTGGTTAAAAGGGCGCTAGTGTCCCAGCTCCCAGGCAACGCACAAGCAGCAAGTCCTATTTTGCTGGCTGGGGCCCGCTGGGGAGGCACGAGCCCTTTCAACTCCTGGTATTTAAAGGACCCGCCCTTCCGCCCTCGGCCTATGCCCTTCCAGGGCAGCCCGCAACCACCTAAAAAATGTGTGAAGTGGCCACCATTCAAAAATTATTGCCCACTCCGATCTAGATCATCCCTGATTGCTGTCTATCCAGCCTGCTCTTAAATATCTCCAGTGCCCGCTGGGGAGGCACGAGCCCTTTCAACTCCTGGTATTTAAAGGACCCGCCCTTCCGCCCTCGGCCTATGCCCTTCCAGGGCAGCCCGCAACCACCTAAAAAATGTGTGAAGTGGCCACCATTCAAAAATTATTGCCCACTCCGATCTAGATCATCCCTGATTGCTGTCTATCCAGCCTGCTCTTAAATATCTCCAGTGCTAGAGATTCCACAACCTCCCTAGGCAATTTATTCCAGTGTTTAACCACCCTGACAATTAGGGAGATTTTCCCTAATATCCAACCTAAACCTCCCTTCCTGCAATTTAAGCCCCTCGCGTCTTGTCCTACCAACAGACGTTGAGAACAATTTTTCTCCCTCTTCCTTGTGACACCCTTTTAGGTACTTGAAAACCGCTACCATGTCCCCTCTCAGTCTTCTCTTTTCTAAATTAAACAAACCCAGTTCTTTCAGTCTTCCCTCATAGTGGACCTACACTCACTCAGCTGTTGCACTTCTTCCTGTTAGTGCAAGAGGGAGTCCCATCTGTTCTAATACCAAGCCCTACTTAATTAGAATCCTAGAAGTCCAGAGTACACCTTGAAAATAGTAAAAACATCACTTAATAGTTGCAAGTACTAATGACGGCGCACATTGCACCCTGCAAGGAGAAATCTCTGAATTGTACACACAATGTGAACACAGATCTAAATCCATATATTCATCATGGATCAAACACACAAAATCTCAGAAACATACTCTGCATTTCCATATGGGGTCTGAGCACAGACACCCTCCGCAGTCCGACTGGAGAATCTACCCTCGCCTTTTCAGCTTGACTTATACTAGTAACAATGGAAGCACAAGCAGCAATGGGATGGCAGCTTGCCCAGGTAGGTTGGAGGCTAAGTGTTCACCCCATAGTTGCTTTGCTGAGATGCCACTGTCCTTTCCAGCGATAGCCATTCCACTGTGGCCCACACCAGATATGCTACCCTCTTCCCAGTGTCTTTAAGGAATTTTAAACACTGTTTTCTTGTGAAATTTATGGCCCCTTCCCCTCACCCATTTTGACAGCCCTGGTTAGAGAAGTCGGATATTAACCCAGCATAGGCAGCAGCGGAGCCAGCATCCCCACCAGTGTGCCCCGTGTCTGTTCTGTCCTAGATGGGTCTGAGAACCATGGTGCCAATTAGTGCCAGCAGCAGCGGCTGATGATGTGATCTGGATGCCAGGGAACTGGACTAAACTCATGGGTCTCCAAATGGTGTAAATTTTAGTCACAACTTAGACAGCAAAGATCTGTGGGGCAAGGACTCTCTGGTGCAGAGACTGGAGCCTCACTGAATGGGATCGCCTGTGGGTACTTATGACCATGTTACAAATAACAACCAGATTTCCCTGCTGGATTGGTATGAAGCTATTGTGTTGTGGGGCTCTGGCCCCCCATCACCAGAGTATTTCACTAGGGATTTTAAATTGTGGGTAATTGACTAATTGAATAGTCCATGCATTTTGCATCGACTATTCGATGGGGCGTCTCCACCTTTGACATGTAGAAACAGCCCTACCTCACATGGCATGGGGGGAAACTGAGGCACCAAGAATGACGTGTCTTGCCCAGGGTCACACAGGAAGGCTGTGGCAGAGCAGTGACTTGAACCTAGGTCTTCCAAGTCCTGGTACCTTAACCCCTTTCAGAGAGGAACAGGCTCAGCCGCAACGTGAATTACTCCCTGTCTTTAGAGTTTCCTGAACATCACGTTAAATACATACGCAGTAGTGATTGAAGTGAACATTAGTACCATTTTCTGAGACTGCCTGAGAGACAAGCATGGCTCAAGGACCAGTCTATTACCCCAATTATTGTTGTAAGAAGCAGAAACAGGCGAGGGAAAAAACCCTTAGACACTTTTTATGGGTGCTGTGGTTTGTTACTACATAGGGGGTCTATATAATTAATGCACACACAATAGTCAGATTGCTCAAATAATACCTAAGCATTCCACTCCATTTATAGCCATGCTTTGAGCACCTGGCACATACCCAGCTGTTTGTTACCCACATTGAGTACCCCTCACTCTTATACAGGCAGTCCCCGGGTTACGTACAAGATAGGGACTGTAGGTTTGTTCTTAAGTTGAATCTGTATGTAAGTCAGAACTGGCGTCAAGATTCACCCACTGTTGAAACTGATCAGCTTCAGCAGCGGCCGAACAGGCAGTCCCCAGGTTACGTACAAGATAGGGACTATAGGTTTGTTCTTAAGTTGAATCTGTATGTAAGTCGGAACTGGCGTCCGGATTCAGCTGCTGCTGAAACTGATCAGTAAGCAGTTATAAATGCAGGCAGTCCCCGACTTATGTCAGATCCGCAGTTACGAACGGGGCCCGTCTCCCTGGTCTCCAGCAGACCAGGGAGAGGAAGCAAAATGGGGGAGCACGCGGGCAGCGGACAGCCCAGACGCGTCTGGGCTGTCCGCTGCCCGCGTGCTCCCCCATTTTGCTTCCTCTCCCTGGTCTGCTGGAGACCAGGGAGACGGGCCCCGTTCGTAACTGCGGATCTGACATAAATCAGATCCGCGTAACTTGGGGACTGCCTGTATAGCACTTTTCACCAGTAGATCTCACTCACTCGTGCGGGTTCCAAATACACTGTCGCTTACTTACATATTTGGTATCTCCTCAAAGTAACACAGAGGGGAAAGAGCTTTGCAAGCAACTATAGAGGAAACAATTATGGTGCAGCCAATATACAACTTCCAAGTACTATAATACATATCATAGATGCTGTTAAAAATAATTCCAGACAAGGATTCTGAATTGTTAACCTTGCCTTATTAGCTTGCTATAAAAGGGGCATTACTGGGGCAGTGATATTGCTGTGTATGGAGGAGTTTCACGAGGAGTAACGGTAGTTCGGAATAGGCACCCTAGTCCGAACTACCTAGTTCGAGCCCCGTGTAGCCGCGCTACACGGGGTTCGAAGCAGCGGGGATTTAAAAATGGCGGCTCCCCGCTTATGCTAATGGAGCCCGGGAAATTCAAATCCCGGGCTTCATTAGCAAGTGCGGTATGCATACATTACCCTCCTAGTTCGAACTAGGAGGGTAGTGTAGACATACCCTGGGTTATTAGGCTTTGCTATGGTTAAACCCTGTTTTATTAATGTGAGACTTTGTGGAAGTAGTTATGCTAAAGGTTGAGTTTCAATTAGAAATTAGCAGGCCCAAGAAGTTAAGCCCGGTTCATTAATTCTGCACTTTTATTCTCTGTGTTTGTGTGTGAGAGAGAAGTGACCACAGTAGTATGGTACATCACACAATTATACAAGTAATTCTACAGTAAGGGAATTCTGGCAATTTGGTAACTAGGCAGGTAGACTGTATTAATGTATAAGAAATACCTGATGTTAATTATTAAAAGCATAATTTAGAGATATCCAGAATGCCACACAGGGACAAGAGGCAGATATTAATATTATGATCAATTTCTGTGAACAAATATAGTTGCATATACCATACATCACATAAAGATGGAGTATTAAAAACAAGTTCCAGTCTAGGTCCCTGGTTTTTGGGTTCTTTGGCTTCCTGAACTAGTGTCAACTAATTGGTGTGTATAAGAGTTTCTGCTGTTTGGTTATATTGATGAGTAGAATTGTGGTTTCTGTGTACTGGGTCAACTGAATCTTGCAAATCAGGCCAGTCCTGTAATAAGAGAGAAAATGTGTAAGAGAAACTTCTGTATAGCCCACTTCTTAGAAAGAACCTATGAAAATTAATAAGTGTAAGTGTGTGATTATTAATAGACAAACATTAGAAACTTATTTCATTATGACCAGGCTGGACTAAACAAGTCTGCTTTAACCACCTTCAAGCACAAATTTTAATTTTTCATTTGTAAATCGGCGTAAAAGAGATTGTAAATATTTTCTTACCTCCCCTGGGAGTTGAACTTTGACACTCATTTTGTGACCTAGCTGGTCCAGTAAAACAGGCTGAGCTAGAACTTTGTTTCACGATAGATTCCTGGTTAGATGCTGGGCACCTGTCCTGTTGCAGAAGATCCAGAAGAGAACCGTATTTCCCATCAGACATCGGTCCCTGAACCATGTGAGGGTCAGGTAAGGAGCGAGAATCTCCTGAACCAATAAGACTTGGATGATTTATCGAAGGGAAGGGCCACAAATCTGCAGGCTGAATAGGACAATGTCGCAGAACGGATGCCTGTTGGAGATCATTGGCAGCAGCCAACAAATGCAGATCAGAATGTGATGTGTTTGTAGCAGGAGATGATTGATAAGACTTGATCCAGTGAGAAGAGAAATTCCACTGATGCGGAGACATGTGGCCATCTAGTTTTAAAGGATAGAGTGTTTTGAATCTTTTTTGAAGTCTTTATTTTACTTTTCCAAGACAAATTCCAATAATGTTATGGGAAATTTACCCAAGTTAAGGACTGCAAAATGTGCTCCAAATTACATACAAAGGAAACTTTTACAATAATAGATTTAAAAAGAAACAAATCTACACTAAAATAGACTAACCTAGAAAGTCAGTACCACCACCCACTGAATATGAAACATCAAGTACTTCTCCTGAGGGGTGGGTAGCCTAGCGTTCCTCAATGTCTTAAACTGTGTCTTAAATCTTGCAGCAGCCTTCTCTAGCCACCCACCTTCTGGCAAAAAGTTGCCAGTCAGATAAGGTTTCTCTGAAGGCAGGGATGAAATCTGGGGGAGCATCTCAAGTCACAGCAAAACCAACTCTCAGTTTAATTTTTTAAAAAAATTTAAATGATGCAATTCATCTTGGGACTTTCTTCAGAAGGGTGGGGCACCCATCCTGCAGAGATTCACTGAAGTGCCACATAGGCAGACCCAGTGGCTTACCCATGAAATCTTAAGTACAAGATCAGGGCTTTGAAAGAATTATTTTGCTCTTGAACAGAATTTGGACTCATGTGAAAGTGGGGGTACATAGACGCACATATGATAATTTGGTCCTCAGTAGGGATGTAAACAACTAATCGACTAGTCGCGCATAAAAAAAAAGGGGGGCAGGGAGGGGGGGGGGCAGAGGGAAGAGGACGGGGTGCTGGAGGGAGCCGACTTAAAAACTGGTTCCCTCCAGCTCCGGGGGAGGGGGCAGGGGCGCAGTGGCGGCGTTCCAACTTTGAAATGTACAAGAATCCCTGCTGGGGCTTTTGTACATTTCAAAGAGGAAGCCGCATGGGTCCCATGGTCAGTGGGGGACTCCCCGCTGACTTCGGGCTCCATGCAGCGTTTCAGTCTTTGAAATGCACAAGAGTTCCCGCTGGGGCTCTTGTACCTTTCAAAGGCGGAACACCGCGCTGGTCCTTATCGACTAATCGAATAGTCAATGGAAATCCCATCAACTATTTGATTAATTAATCAAAATTTAAGATCCCTAGTCCTCAGTCTAAATGTCTCGGCATGACACTCTAGTTGGTGAGTTAAATAGCAGCATTACACAAACACACACATGGAAAACTGCTCACCATTCTTCAGGTTAACATCCTCACTCTTGTGCTTTGTGCTCAGATCTTGCGGGTTCTTGGCATTGCTTAACGCTCTAGAAAAGTGCTCATCTATCACACTGTTCATGTCCCCTTGAAAGTAAGTGAACACAACACTCTGAGACCCCCACTCTGTTTTCACAGGCGGTTTGCTTTTACTCAGTATTGGAGCGTTTTTCCTTTCTGCTTCCATCTTCAGTGACTAACAGTGCCTAAGAAGTAAAACAAGAAGAATCACTGAACCAAAATTGTATTGCCAACATTGGGTTTGATAATCTTCCCACTGAAGCTTAGGACTGGAAAGTTTACTTTGAGTAGAAACGGGGACAGATCCTGTATCTGATGCTCATCCTTTCTCCACCAATTTAATAAAAGCCTGCATGGACATAGTTGCTAAATCAAATGTACATGGCTATCTGTACAGCGTGATAAATGCCCAGGTTGATCCTTGTAGTAAAATCTATAATCCATAGGTGCAAAGGGTGGTATGCGAGAGGATACAGTTAGTTCTTCTATCTAGTTTCAGTGCACATGTAGGAACAATGGCTGGAGCTCCCAAAAAAGAAAGAAAGGGTGGGGCGGGAGGGAACTATGACACAAGCTATTCATTCACTAAGCCGTACTCCTTTGGATGGCATTGTGCCTCGACTCAATGCTTCTGCATGTCATTCTCCAAGTCACAAAATGGGAGTCTGGTGGTCCACCAGCATTAACTATAGGAAGGAAAAGTATCCATTGGGCCAAGCTGGCAAAAAGCATTCAGATGGTCTTAGCCAGCAACCATCATGCTTGTCTCACAAGCAGCGTCCTCTTTGCTGTCTCATGGTGGTGCTAAGGAACCATGACAGAAATTACTAGACTGTTAATATTTAATTCAACAACGTTAATTAAATTGAAGATCGAAGAGTCCACATCAGGTATTCTCAACACACTCCAATGTTGGTTGAAAATAGCACATTCAGGCTTACAGAGGACAACTGTTGCTTGCACACAAGCAACTAGATGGACACAAGGTAAAAGCTATGCTATATTCATGTCAGAAGCATTTGCAGAAGCCCCAGATTTATGAACGTCTGGATTCTCTGAACAGCTGCAAGTTAAATTTGTTTGCTTGGCGCACTCTACTCATTTTCTATCATTTAAAACCAGTGCTGGCAAGTGCTTTCTTGGCATCAGTTATTGTTCCCTACTGCTTCTGGACAGACTGTATTACAGGAGCTCTTCTTTGTAACTTCCGTAGGAGATGGTGTGATCTAGCCTGGGACTGAACTACCGGGGTTCCATTACTGTCTGTTGCATGCATACAATTTCCATAGGAAATTCCAAATGGAGCTTCAGCCATGCCAATGCCACGAGTTCAAAACAATCAGACTTAAAAAAAAAAAAAAAAAACCAAAAAAAACCCCAACAACCCTCCACTCATGATTGGCCCCAAAATTAAAGAGGCTTAATTTTTTTGTCTTAATTCCTGTAGCAACCTGATTGGTTACTCTTCCCCAGAAGGGAGGCAGCTAATCAGGTGAGGATTTCCCTCTGGGAAGGGATGAAGCTTCTCTCAGTCATGGCAAAAAAACTTCCAGTCCCAGCTGAAACCACAAGAGTCGACAATACTGACTTAACGGTGTGACTTTGGAGCAAGTCACTTCAACTCTCTGAGCTTCAGTCTTTTTCCCATACCAAGTAGGAGAAGATAGTCTCCCAGATCACACAGCTAGTCATAAAATGGAATTTCAGTCCCACAGGAAATTCGGACAAGTTGAAATTTATTTTCATTCAAAATCAGGACAAAGTAAAATCTGGAAATACCCCACACAGGAAATTCTAAAATAATTTGATTTAGAAACAGCAAAATGATCTTGTCAAAACACTATCCAATAAAATGTATTCCCAATTATAAAATTGGGTTTAAAATTAATTTTTAAAGTCAAAATGAAACATCTAAATTGAATAGTCCACTTTGAATTTTCCCCTCAAATGTTGTCAAAGCTAAAACGTTCTCACAAAGCAGCCTTAGTTTGACAAATAGCATTTTGCAATTGAACTGTTGTTGATTTTTATGACCAACTCTAATGTGAGGTACTAAGGATGATTCGCTAATGTTTGGAAAATGCTTTGAAATACTTCTAAGGAACTATGTTTCAGAGTCTTGCTACCATCAACATAAGAATGTTATAATAGATTGGGAAAGGGAAAAAATGCAACAGGTTCTCTTATGACACTTCAGTGGACCTTAGAATGGTTAGACTATCAAGTGATTTTAAATCAAACACAAAGAGATAACGTTATATATTTTAATGACAGTTGCTAGTATAATTTTGGGGTGGGTGGGAAAACAAGTCTTGTCCCAGTTCTGATATTCCTAAAGCAAGAGACTCTCAAATCCTGACAAGATTAAATCACATCTTGCCCCCACAATTGAATGCATCTATAAGTTTTTCCCTATTAAAGGCAGGCTATTTTAGCTATCCACAAATTGCCATATGAGAATCCTTTGATTACCATATAGAGGACTTTCTAAGGCACTAATCAGTGTGCATTTATTGCAACCTATGCAAACAGACCAGAGTTTCCCAAACATTTAAAAAAATGCTGGATAGGTGTAAGTGTAACCCACACACTGGGGATGGAATATCGCCAAGCCTCATTTGCATACCTAATGAGCCACCATTTTTTTCAGAAGAGGCTCTTGCGCAAGAAGGAGCGTCTACACTGCCCCTTCTTACGCAAGAAAAATCCTCTTGTGCAATGCCGTTACACCTATTACTTTTCAGGAAGAATGGCATTGTACAAGAGGGTTTTTCTTGCGTAAGAAGGGGCAGTGTAGACGCTCCTTCTTGCGCAAGAGCCTCTTCTGAAAAAAATGGTGGCTCATTAGGTATGCAAATGAGGCTTGGCGATATTCCACGCTTAACCTCATTTGCATATTACTCCCGCAAAAAGCTGCGAGTGTAGACATAGCCCTAGTGTGGTTCACTGACCCATGCAGTGGCACTTAGACCACAGCAACAGATAAGACCAAGAGACCTCTACAGGATGAGGTAGGAGGCAGCTGGCTTTTAGCTCAGCAGGTAGAGGCTCCTATACTCAGCTTCAGAGGTCCCAGGTTCAAATCTACCCCCTGGTAATTACAAAAGCACTGATGAAATTTGCCATCAGCTAAAACATGTATCATTAGCAAAGGGACTGTATTTTGGAAAGTGATGCTCAAGAGATGGTTTTGGTGAATAAGCATTCACACTCCCAGTATGATGCTGCAGTTGAGAAAGCAAAGATCTATGGATGCAAAAGCAGAGGAATAACAAGTGGCAGTAGGAGGGTGGTATTACCTTTCTATACAACAAGGTGCAATCTTTAGGGGAACAGTGTGTCCAGTTCTAGAGGTCACACTTTAAAAAGGATATAAACTGGAAAGGGTTTAGAAAAAATACAATAATGAGGTCTAGAAAACATGCCTTACTGTGACAAAAAGCAGCTCAATATTGATCTATCCAAGAGAAAGCTGATGAGGTGACTTGATCAAAGGCTTTGCATACCTGTGTGGGGATTACATTTCTGATCATAGAGCTTCTGATCTTTAACTCTAGCAGAAAGGCATAATGAAATCAAATGGCTGGAAGTGAAAGATAGACAGTCAAACTAAAAATAAGTGCAATTAAAAAAATCAAGAGTAATTGAACTGTTGGAACAAGCTACTGAGGGAAGCGATGGGTTCTCCATCACTAATTCTTTAGATCAAGATGAGCTATATTGTCAAGACGTGCTTTCTAGTGAGAAATTAGATCTGATGCAGACAGCGTGGATTTCTATAGCTGGTGTTAGAAAGGCCAGACTAGATTATGATGGTCCCATCTAGCCTCCTTAAAAGGGACCATCTGCTGGCACCTGTAACATGCTAAGCACAGTACCAATAAGGGAGTCATAGGGGACATCAGTGGTTGTAATGAGGGAGAAGTGGGCAGGGACCATCTTATGTCTATACATCTTTCTTAGAACAAAAGGGGGCCCTCCTTCAAGACTGGGGGCCCTTAGGTGCTGCCACAAAAATAAATACACAAGAAGGTTTAGGCCTCCAAGAGGTCGGACTCAAATAAAACTAGAAAAGCAAACTTCCTACTTTTTTTCCCCCCACTGTCATTTTTCATAGTCTGCACCAGACAGCACGGCTGATTTCCCTTAGTGAAGAAACAGCGGCTTTCACTTGGAAAAATCCCAGGCCACATCCAGCTGCACCAAGCAAATTCTAGTATGGAACGCTAAGTGGACTCTCCCTAACAAATGCTCTTCTGAAAGCACCTCTATGCTACCTGTCATTATGCAACTTAAAAGTTCATTAAGATTGCAAAGTCAAGCACTCCACTTCCCGCCCAAAGGCTTACTTCCCACATAACAAATCGCTGGATGTTCCTACGTCACCCTTGTTAACCATCCTCAAACTATTGACTTCAAATTGTGTCCTTAGGCAGGCATTTTTTTCCAGCAGGAGGGCTGAGTATGTTCAACTCCTCTCACCTGGTGAAAAGGGCTGCGTAGTTACAGCACTGGGAAAGATACAAAGGTCTGAGAAAATTATTAGTATCTAGTTTTCCACTGCACAGGGGTTGAGCACCTAAAATTATGAAATATTTTTCCAAGCCAACTTGGAAAAATCCATGTCCATCTCTATCTAAACACTCTGTAGTCTAGGATGAACCATTTAGATAAGGTTTGAGTGATAGGGAGGCTGTCCCTTTAAGGGCAGGGCCAAGATTTGGAAACACTATACAGCAGTGAGGGGCAACCGAGGCTAGTGAGTAGGCCACGAGTGGCCCTCATCTCAGTGGGCCACAAGATTGTCATAACCAAGATGGTCTCCTGGAAATGTGTAATTGTTATAACTGTGCTTGTGTACCTAGAATTTATGGTGTGTGCTGACTGAACTGTAGCAGCGCTTTGATTGATGCAGACGGAGCACACAGCTTTCAGTTGTGTTGTGTGCTATCAGCATGCACCTCAACTCACGTGCCCTTGGTTTATGTGCCTGTGACTTTCAATAATATTGGGAGGGTTAGGAAAAAAAATACAGTAATTGAAATACGGCAGGAAAAAAACTATGCCAACAAAAGCCAGCAGAATCTGGCAATCATGGGCAACATCAAAAATGTCTTGTGGGCCACACATGATCCCCGTGGATCACAGGATGCCTTGCCCACTACTGCTCTACAGTATGTTCACCAGCCTCACTAGCTTCCCATTCCTCCATCTCCAGTAGGAAGACTGCAAAGAGACAGCGTACATTACTTCCAGGACAAACGGTTACGGAGCTGGAAGCCACCAGTTTTTGTTGCTTGTCTGAAACAAATTGTGGTTAAAATGTGTTTAGGAGGAATATATTGGTTCGGATTGGAGGAGTACAGAGTAGGATTTAAGATGGTAAGCTGTTATAGAAATACAAGGACAGACATTGCCCTAAAATCGAGGCCCAAAAAGGGAGTCTCCCCCAACTCTTGTGAGATTTGGTACAGGCAGTGATATAAGTTAATTTGCTCTTGAAGAGCAAATGGTGTGTGCTTGGCAAATCCCTGGGAACCTGAATGGCCAGAGTGGCTACAGATGACAAGGCTCTGTGCTGGTTTCTCAGGCAGCATCTCATGGAGCAACTTTGTCCTGTTCCCTGCTGTCCAGGGATCTAGCACTGCCTGGAAAAAAATAAAATCCTTCTCTCGCTCACTGGTTTTCCAAGCAGCATGTAAACAGCTCAGTGAAAAAGCCACCCCCTTTACCAAATACCAATGTAAGGAAGTTAATAAAAGAGTACTGGTATCAGGATTCTTACCTTATTTTTACTGCCTTCAATTGAGACACCCTGGGAGACTCTGGACACACTGAAGAGTCATGCTGCAGTATACAGAGGAGTCTGATCCTTTCCCAGCATGGACGTATGTACTTTGCTGGAGAATGCAGGGAGTGCACATGATTGCCCTACCTGCTTTCTGCCCCTCTAGCTGTGACTGAACTAGGCGTTTCCATCAAGCTTGCCACTAAGTATGTGTGAAATGCACTCCAACAAGTCCACCAAGTTAAGAGGCTTCAGGAATGAGGAAAATAGGCTTTTAAAAATTGGATTTTGACGACACTGTGTACACAATCAAGCAGACAATGTGCACATTTAAGAACAAAGTTCCTAGTAAAAAGACACATGGCAATGAATCACTGGGTACATGACCAGGGCCAAAAATGTTACCTTCCTACAAAAGGTCAGACATTCCTGAAGTCATTACCTCCACTGACAAGGAATGGTTGCTTACCTGCCACCTCCCAATGTCTATTTTCCATTTCTCCTACCCCACCTTACATCCCTCTGCTTTCCGGTCCCTCTGAAATAGTGGCTATATCCATGTATTTGGGTACAACAGAAAGCATCTGTTCAACAGAATACAGTAGTTAAGTTACTTTGTGCTAAGCACTTTTCTACCCTTATATCTTGATATGAGCTACCCAACAGAAACTGCAGTACGACCAAGTGGAATGCAATTTGGTTTTAGTCTGACTGTACATTTTTAGAATCTTTTACAAAAGTGGTTACCAACCTTTTTTATGCCATAGACCAGCAAACCCATTCACTAACCTTTGGCAAACCAGCAACATTTAATTTGCATATTCATTAAATAAAATGTTTCCTGTCCACCCAGCCCCGAGTGCCTAACACCCTTTGACGCCTACCCGTATGCCCCATGTGCTTTGACCCTTTAATCTCTGACTTCTACAGCCCATGCCAACACCCTCTTGCCCTGTGACCCCCGCCACACACCCTCACCTTTCAGCCCCCACTCCACCCCTGCATTCCCCCAGAGCGAGGCTGCCCCATCTTGGGTGCGCGGCTGTTGGCAGTGCACTTGCTCCCTCCTCATTCGCCTCCCTTCCTTCTCAAGTGCATCTTGTGCCCCCATGGGTAGGGGGAGGGGAGCGTGAAGGCCTGGCCAGGTCACCATTACTGAAGGGGAAGGAAGGAAGGAGGCACCTGCTGCTCCGCCTCTTCCTGCCACCACCTCAGTCCCAGCGCAAAAATCAGCCACCATGGCTGCTGGAGCTGACTCACTGAACAGTCAGCTTCCGCTCCAGCAGGCACTGTGGACCAGCAGCCAGTGGTTTGAGGACTGGCACTGGTCCACAGATCAGCAGCTGGGAACCGCTGTTTTATAGCGCAGAGAGAAAACACAATGTATGTTATTGTAAAGTAACCTTACCAGTGATAACGAAGTCTGTCTCTAAAATATCAGTGCACATTTACACATTAAAATTACTATGCAATCATAAACTATATTTATATTCATGTGGTCTTAAACTTACAAAACAAATCAAATGAGGAATTAGCTTAAATACATTCTTTCAAGCAAAGATGGGCTTAATTTGTTTATTAAAAAGGTAGTATAAAACACAACCCATTTAAGAAACAAAAACAAAATTTGAGACAAATCAAGAACTTCTTCAGTTATGTCACAGGGCTAGAAATTATAAGTATGAAGGAGTACTTCCAGAGAAAGAATTTAGAGCTAAATTGAATTTACCATTTAAGGGCAAACCAATTAGAAAAAAAAATCAGTTTATTGAAAGATTTAAACTTACAATATTACTACAGTAGTATTACATAATGGTCAGTGCAAAAAATGTAACAAAGCCATTTTACATTTCTATAATCATATGATAGCACTTTCAGAATACCTCAATACCAAAAACTTCAAGCCCTGCATAATTCAGCACACTCACACAATGTAACACAACTTTCTTAATATACAAAATTTGTCATATTACAGCATATTTTCTCAAATTCAGAAAAAAGATTGAGTCCAACGAAAAAACTAAAGCAATGTGAAGTCTTAGAAGGAATTTAGCCAAGGTTGCAATGCAGAGTGTAAGATGTGGATACTGTTTCACTGTAGAATACAAAGGTCAGTGTAATTTTATAAAGCATCTAATACCTGTACATTTTAGTGAACTGGAACTAAATATTCCAAAAATTAATAGTTGAGTCTTGTGAATGAAATCTGGGACAAGTTTTTAAGACCAAAATGCACTGTAATACACTAATGATTTCAAGCAAATTGCAATCCCTGTACAAAATAAAACTTGTAATAAGGATTGAAATTCAGTTAAGAGTTAAGTACATCCAGCTGTATTTTAAAAGTGAAAATCAGCAGGAGCAACAAACATTTTGATGCAAAATGAAACTAAACTATCCCTACCTCCCCTCTTCACACATGTACATGCAAAACCATTTATATCTGCTCCTTTCAGGGGGTTTTCCCTGTTCCAGTCTAATCTTTGCATAGTACTTAATGGGTTTTTACCATCTCTTGTGCATAATAATCATACTATTATTCAATTATAAAATGACAGATCAATATGATTTGGACCTTAAGCAGGCAATATAATGAACAGTTAGAACATGGCAATATTATCCACACTGTATGTAAGTGCAAACTATTTAATATTACCCTCCCTTTTGTATTTAAATTATTTTAAATACAGAGTCAGTGTTTTGCCACTATCCAAATCTAAGAGCAGGATCTTCAAAAAGTAGCTCTTTCAACTTGAGCTACACTAATACTAGCAAATCATGTCAACTTACTGTAGACCAGACATAGTTGGCCTTTCCAGAGGTCACTATAATTTTAAAAGAGGGAGACAGCTTCTTGAAATGTTCACTTCTGACAAGATTGTTTTCTCTACGAACTGTAAGAACTTCATAAAGGTATTCAGGTAGGAAGAGTACAGATCAGATCAGGAAGACAGCTTTCAAAAGTGAAGACAGCATCTGAAAGCATGCAGCTGATTAACAGCACTTCAAAATTACATAAGGATAATTAGAAACCCATATTGAGTCCTGATCTTGCCATTTTTACTGAATTGACAGGACCCTGGACTCAATCCTATAAAACTGTACTCACAAGTGTAGTCTTCTTCAGTGGGACTGGTTATGTGAGCATTTTGTGAATCTCAGGCCATGTGAAAAGACTCATTTTCTGCTACTTTTGGGTTGTACTCATGTAAAACTATTTAGGGGGCAGATACTATATTTTAGAAATTTATTACTACATAGTCACTTGGAATAAAAAAAACAAAAAAAACCACACACTTACCAGATGTCTAAAAAACCCATTAATCATTAATACATTCAGAAGTTCTGCTTATCTGCATATCAGTTAATTACACACTATCCACTGCCTTATTCTGTATTATAATTTACAATTGTGTGCTTCAAATTCATGTTTTGTGATCACATGATTCAATATAACCATGTGGCAAACTAATTTCCCCTATAAGCTTATGAAAACTTTCATAATTATTGTATTCAACAAAAAGGGAAAGGTACTTTAATTTAAAATCACTATTTAAATAAGCACTGCACTGGAAACTAAAGTCATTTGTCTCACTGTTTTCTATATATTATCACCATTCTTGTATAGTTCATGAATAAGCTGCTGGTTTTAAAAAATATTTTCCTTATTTTACTGTATGAAAGATAGGTAAAGAGGTATATCAACATGAATGTGTGTCATTTTAGACCACTGGTTCCCAACCTTTTTGAGTATATGGATCCCTTTTCAATCGATTATAATTTCATGGACCCACCCTATCCCTACGGGAGAAAAAAAAGAAAAGGAAAAGGAAAAGAAAAAGTAAGATCATGTCCTTTATTTTTAAAGTTTCCACTAATCTGCTACAGTACCGTCACGGACCAAGAGGGGCCCACGGACCACAGATTAGGAACCACTGTTTTAGACATTTTGACCAGACGTGGAAACAAATGGTTCAGAATTTCAGGCAATATTCTTAAAAATTATTTCAAAATGCCAGTGAAGTGGCTTTTGTTTTTTAGTTTTTGTTGTTGCACTATTTCAAGTCTGAAATAGGGAGAATTTAAAACTTATCCCCACTCATTAAACACATTTTGGTAAATGGGCAAGCTGTCAAATTTTTAAATCAACTGAGAGGCAAGCTATCAAATTTTTAAATCAACCGAGAGGGAAGTTACTATACATACACCAATTCCTTCGTTTTACATGGTTTAAGCATAGTTTTAAATAGTCAAAGCTAAATTATATTTGATTTGACACTGATATGGCATTTAGAACCATGAAACATTCATTTCTCAGGCATTTGCTACAGCAATTTAAATTCCTTTTTTTAAATTGCTACATTGAGCCGCCTAGAATGATTTAGATAATTAATTAGGACCTCTAGAAAGCTAACAATGCCTGCTAACTTGACAAGGTCAAAAACCTCATATTTGAGAGCTGAAAACAATGCCCATGGTATTAAGCTGCATGTTACATACAGAAGCTTTAAGCATTCATGTTTGTGGTGATCACAATGGTCAGTAAATACTGTACCAGTGGAAACATTGTTTAGAACTGCATGGGCTGGATGCAATTCAAATGTGTTACTCTCCATACTTATAAGCTAACCAATACAGAATCACTAAACACATCAGAAGCACTTATTTTGCCAAGGTTTATAATTCATGATATGCTCAAAGATGGGGGAGAGAGAATTAAATGGTTTCCTCTCAATGGCATGATCAACTTTTAAAAAAAATCCCAAAGGGATGTTTTATTTAAAATTAAAAAATAGTCATACTAGTTTATAATAAATTAAAATAGCCATCACTTTCTTACAATCAAGGGTTACAAGTCTGATCATCTTAACTACTGTTCTCTCTTCTAGGTTGCTTGAAAGAAAATAAGATATAACCACAAGGGCAAGTAGTCTGAATAAATATTTATTCAAACTTATTGCCATAATCTACATAAATACAGATTATCAAAAAAACCTCTTAACTACAGTGTAATTGTCAAGACAAAAAAAAAAGAAAAAGAAAAAGAAAGATACGCACGGTACAAATTAAAGACAAGCAGTGTCTCTATTAAAATTGAGTGCTTCAAAAGTTGGAAACAGAAGCACGAACACCCATAATCTGTCACCACCCAGTATCTGCATTTGTAAAAGAATCAACAATTTCAGTTGAAAGTTAAAAAAGTACCTTGGAAATGAACAAACAATCCAGAGACAGCTCCAAATATTAAACAGAGGAACTAGGGATAATACTTTTAAACAAGCTGCCTAAAAAAATGGGTTTTCAAAGTGCTTGGCATACAAGCTGATCCACTGAAGTAACTTTTGAACTTCAAACCACTTTACACACCTAATGAAGGAGACTAATTTTAGGCATTCTTTTGAAAATACTTGCCTAATTAAACATTTTGTTCAAGTCAATTTAATCACTAATAAAACAAAAAAGTAAATAGAAAAGGGCATCTAATTTTTGACAAACACGTTCAACAATATTCATAAACTGAGTGACAGCCTTGGAATTAAAGGTCAAAGTCCTTTAAATTGTATTAAGTTTTTGGTGGAAGGGGCCCTGTAGGCACTGAACTGAACTAAAAGCAACTCTCTCAAAAAGAATATGGTACATATTGACTCCGTACCCTACCAAAGACTGAAAAAGCATTTGATCTGTTAAAGCAAAAGAACCTCAAAAGCCACACATTCAGTGTATTGTTTTTACATGCTTTCAACATATGGAAATACATTTTGGTGGTAGGATGAAGTCAATTGAAGATTAAAGGTCAGTTTTATTTAGTGTTCAAGGTATTGAAGGGTTTACAGGTGCTAATCTCAAAATACTCACAACTTGTTTGCATTAACAAAAGAATCAAGAAGTTCAGACCCTTCTAAATGGAGCATTTTGATTTTAAAATATCTTCACTTATCTGTGGCTCAGTGCAGGCTACGGCAAGAATTTTCAGAAGACTGAGCAATAATTTCATGCCCCATAATCTGCTATTTAAAATGCCTAATGCAGGGTGAACGTATTGGGTCTTACCGCAACAACTGTTCTGTAAAACTGTCAAAAGTGCTCAAGACAGTTAAACAGAAAGATACCAAATTCCAAAAGTCTAGGGAAACTAAACCAAACATTAAAATCTATTTTAATATTTTTGTACATTACTAAAATGTTTCAGATTGTGTAATTGTTCAAAAGCGGGAGTTCACTTACACTTCAAACATTTATATAATTTAAACACTGACAAGCAAATATGACATAAGAAGCCCGATCAGTTCTGTTGAACTCCTGGCCACTTGAGATATTTAGCTTGAACTACAGCCAATTAATACAAAGCTTTGTAGATCTTAATTAACTACGGCTTTTAATGAAAATTTCAAAGCACAAGCTGATGACATCAAATATGCATATAAACATTTGAACACTGTCTGTAGTCACCCTGAAGCACAGGATAAGAGAAATCCAATCACCACCCTAAAAAGCATGCTTTCATAAAATATTGGAAATGTTATGTATCAGCTTCATCATCACTGCCCGCAAGGCTGCTATCTGTTGATGGAGTGCCATCTTCATTAATGCCTTCACCATTATCCTCTCTCTTATGAGCTTCCACATTCACATCACCTTTAGATGTGCCATTATCTTTTGAAGGCTGGTCTTCAGGCAGTTTCACACTACTAGCTGCAGAATCTGAAGCAGCTGCCATTTTCTGCTTCTCTGCATCAGCCTCTCCTAAAAATGATCCCCATAGCTTGAGCCTTTCCTCTCTCTCTCTTGAGGTCTCTTCCACCTATGAATAAATAGCCCTTAATTAGTACTGCTACAAGAAATCCAATCTTTCACAGTGGAAAAAAATTAATTTATACTTGGTAAAACTATGTAACAGCTTCTTTATTACAATCAATACTGACTATATTAATACCATGAGGTTTCATTTGGGTCAGGCTCATTGTCTAGATGCTGTACAGATTGCTAATAATGAATTACTGAAGAGTTTACCTTTAATGTACAAATAAGATAATCGGGGTCTTTTAAAACTATTAAATACATTTGTAACAACAAAAATAGGCCTGCAAGAATCCCAAATAACTGGCATCAGTGGGTAAGCCAGGCTTAAAATTTATCCTTTGAAAATAATATTTAAATATGCAATGTTACTTAAATTTTAAGTGTTGTTTATTTTAAAAATTAAATAAGTTCAGAGTTAAGAATTTTTAGAAATTAAAATGTGGTCAAGAGAGACAATTAAGGATTACCTGATAATCTGTTGTACCATCCCATGTTTCGACACTTAGCTGACGACCACCAAACCACCTGCCATTGAGAGCTTGTATGCACAGATCAGCTTCTTCTGGTTCTTTAAATGAAACAGAGGCCACTCCATCTGGGTGTCGCTGTTAAGAAAGACAAAACCCTATCATACCCCTCTCTATTCTAAAAAGCAATTAAATTTTATTCCAATGATCTTTACTCTACTCTTATACAAGATCAGGTAGGTGTGAAGACATACGCGAAAGCCAGTTTGCATGCATACAATTTTGAAATATATACTCCCTTCCATTCTTTTCAGATTTTGAAACAGCACCATCTTTAGTACTTGACAATTAACATTTTCAGTTTTATGTTTTCAACAAAGGTACTTACAATCTTTTTGTACAAAATCTAGTGTTTTAAAAAAGCTGATTTAAGCTATTTGCAATTTTGTGAGTGTACAGTATCCTTTTCGACTTCTAATGCATATGTCCACAAAACTATTGCAGAAGTTGAATATTGCATTTAGACAAAGGGGAAGCTGGAATATGCAAATGTGCAGTTTTTTAAACTTTACCTTTGTTAAAATGGGAAGAAATTCTAAATTAAGAAGTTGTAGAACGGAAAATTTGAAATTCTGAAAAATGAAATTTAGGATTGCATGAAAAATATTGGAGAACCAGACATCTTATTCATAATTTAAGGAACATGAACATCTTGTATATTTGATCAGAAAGGTTACAGCAATTATGCCCAAACAACATAATAGAAAACACCTACATCAAATAGGAGAACCTTCTTTGCTGCTCCAAACTTTTCACATTCTGTCCGTAGGTCTTCCCTGATCTCATTCAATACTAACGGGTCTTCCTGCAAAGAAAGAAATAAGGTTTTGGTTTAAAAATAAGCTTTTTAAATAAAAATGAAGCTAAAAGTTCCATTAACTGTGTATGAACTCCAGACTGGAATTCACACTCTTAAGGGCTTGTTTTCACTACACTGAAGATCCACACAGCCATGATTGACCTTTCGGAGTTCGATTTAGTGGGTCTAATGAAGACCTGCTAAATTGAACTCAGAGGCTCCCCATCAGCACTGGCACTCCTGCCCTTCATGAAGAGTAAGAGAACCTCACAGGAGTGTTTGCTCCCATCGACGACCTAATTTGGAGACTGTGTGACAACTCGAATTAAGATTATTGATTGCAGCTACGTAATTGACATTAGCTGGAGTTGTGTATCTTAATTTGACCATCCCCTGTAATAGATTAGATAGAATAGATTTAGACCTGGCCTAAATCCTATAATTTATTTTAAAGGATAACAGTGGCATGATATACGGTATATCAAGAACACTTGGTACTTTCACTTATACAGTATGTTGCAAAACAATGACAATCCAAAAAATTTAAAAAAAGCATTAACTTTTGTTCTAAAGAGTTTCTTAAGTGGGGAGGGACAGCTCAGCGGTTTGAGCACTGGCCTGCTAAACCCAGGGTTGAGAGTTCAATCCTTGAAGGGGCCATTTAGGGATCTGGGACAAATCTGTCAGGGATGGTACTTGGTCCTGCCGTGAGGGCAGGGGACTGGAGAATAACAAAAGTGACCACGGAAGAGCAGATGGGTTTTAATGTGACCAGACTTTTGGTTTTAAGAGGTAATTCCCAAGTATTCCATTTTACTGCAATTGGGATGACATCTCAATCCCAAGGACTTCTGACTGTCCTTTTCCATTCCCAGTGTCCTACTGGATGTGCTCTGAAAAACAGCATGGTCAGAACTTGCCTCTCAGTTACTGCTCAGATGAGATTAAAGGTGTGTGGGGAGAAGCATAAGTCTTTGAGCAATTAGAAAGAAACCCAGGTAAGAATGAGTGAGATTTTGTTGTGAGATGGGATAATAGCTTGGAATAAAGGCAAATGCTGAATTGGTATCAGGGAAACTTTTTGATAGAAATAGGACATAATAAAAGCCCATTGATTAGAAATACACCTAAAGGTACTTAAAAAATGTTTAGGAATCTGTTTTCGATAAAACAGTGAAATTATTCAAGAAGCCACTCTTACTACGCAGCCTCTTATTCTTGAGACGATATAAAATTATCCCCAACTGTACAGTGTACAGATCCTGTTTGTGGTCATGCATGCATGAAGGTATGTATTACTTCTATAATGCATGGTGCAATCTCTCTGCATATGCTCAAAATTAGTAAAAAAAGACACAAGATGGAGGAGGTAAAACTTAACGTGTTGTCTTGGAGCTGGGAAGGCATGAGCCCTTTCAATTGCTTCTGTTTAATTACCTTCCCTGCAAGCCTTTATATAGGAGCATTTGCAAGGGCTCACAGCTCCCACCCCCCCACCAATGCGTTGCCTGGAAGTTTCAGGGGAGGCACAAGCCCTTTCAACTCCTGCTATTTAAAGGCCCCGCTATCTCCACCTGAGGCCCCACGTCTGCAACCACTTCAAAATTTTTTGAAGGCACGCCTTTCCAAAGTGATTGCCCACCCCTAAGCTGCATAGGCATGCCTCTTCCCCTTTCAAAATACCAGGAAGTTCTGAAACTGCTCAGCAGGGAAAGCTCACATAGCTATTGTGCAGCAAATGGCACTCCTGCCTGGACTACAGGTGAAGTGATGGATCTCCTTGGTCTGTAAGGAAAGGAAGCTGTGGGAATCTCAATCAAAACATGAATGTGGAATTCTGCTCTCTCTGGTATGAAGACCACAGCAGTAGGAAGGCAGAGAAGACTGCTGCTAGGGGAGAATGGGAGGAAGGGGGGAGGAGGGAGGGGACACTGCTGTGCAGAGCCAGGGAGGAAGAGTATTTTCAGATATTGTGAACGAAAGTATGAAAAGCAGATTAAAGCTAAAGCACTTTTTCAATCCTGGCAACCGTACAGTTCTGTTCTCCCCTCCTACACCACTGCCAGGTTATCTTTCCACTGCAGTCCAATACGGCTGCTTCTGAAATTTCTACCTAGCTGGCTGGGAGCCAACAAAGGAAGCAGGACACAAAACAGTCTCTTTATTTGCTGGGGCCACAACAACCTGCAACAGCAGCCAGAAGCAGTAATTGCAGGGTAAGTCTTGCTTAGCCCCCACAGCTCTGGGATGGAGCATGCTCAGCATCTTCAGAGTATTTAGCTGCCAAAACAAGTTCTCATTGAGCATGTGCAAAGTATACATTTTCATATTTTAACTTCGTGATAGTGTGAGCCAATTTCCATGGGGATGGCAAATAGAATCTAGGAGACCAGCGTGACACTTACTCCCTGCCAAATGTCAAGTCCCTGCTCCAAACCATGGAAGCATTAGAGCTTCTCAAGGAAGTAGCTAATTTTCTGTTTTGATTTTTTTTTTAAAACATAAGGCAATATTTTCCCTATTAGCTGAAATTTTCTAACACATTCAGCCTGAGGCAGACACTTAGTATGGAAGATTTCTGCCTGAACAATTAATATTTAGCAACATTATAAGCAACGGAAAACAGGGTTTTATGATAAATAATGAGCAATGATGGCTATTGCCGGCACTACCAGCTTTACCTATTATTTAGTTCTACCTACCTCAAAATCCTTTGGATGGAACATGTTCCTGATGATGACAACACGCTCATGTCGCTTTCGAACTGTATCATCTTTCTTCTCAGGCCTCCAATCCAACTGTCTAATGAAATGAAACAATAGTAAGAAGACATTGTTGCCCTTTCTTCAGTTTCTACAAGAATTTGCTGAAAAAAATCATTAATTTGACACACAGATTTCAGTAATGGTAGCTACTTTGGTTCAAAATAATTATTTACATCTTCTAGAAAATTTAATGGAAAGGGGAGATGCACGTTAATTGCTGTTCTTCTTACGAAGTTACGTCAAATACTGTAAAAATGCCCAAGAATGAAACAAACAAGTCAAATTGAATTTCAGTAGTCAGTGTAGTCTATTGGACCATTCAAGAAATAATCTAAAGACTGCAATTGAACTGGAGCATGGGATAAAAAACGGAGTCAGAAAAACATAATTGGGTTATTAAGTGCCTTGAACAATTTAGGAAACAGTATTTGAAGTCTCCTACTGTCATTTCAGACTAGGACAGTATTTTTTAAAAAGGTAACAGAATACCAGCTTTAAGGTGCAACACACTGCTAAAGATTTCCAAAAAGGTCTTTGAAAATTGTTTTGACATTATTTTAATTGTATTCTCTCAAGCTTACACTGTCTTGCAGTAAAAGTGTACTGCTCGCATTTCAAGTACTCCTCACCTTTATAATGTCAAAAATAGTGCCACTGTACACCCTTTGCCACACCCTCAAGTTTTTCTGTGGATTTTCATTTTAACTATGGTTGGTCAGACTTGTAGAAATTGGAACCTCCAGTAATATTCTTTAACTGAAACTGTGCTTGATTTCATTAGCAATTATTAATATCAATCTCAGAAAAAAGTCTGATTTAGTAAAACTGCTTATTTCTGCTGCTTCTGATGAGAAGTTCTAGGATTTTTATTCAGGTCACTGTACAAGCTAATTAAGGTTTTCAATGTAAAGTAAAATGAGCCATTTAAAGTCAGTGCCTGAAAATATTTTAGCTTTTTTTTTTTTTTTTTTTTTTTAAAGCTAAACCTAGGATCAAAGGGGAAATTCTATTGTTCCAGCCTATGCGTTTAAAAAAATATCAATATTTAAATGAAATGTTCTTGTTTCCAATAACAGGAATTGCTTAATTCTTTAAGGTCACATGTAATTTAACTCTATATAATATTTCTTTTTTTTAATTAAAAAGCATCTGAATGCTGAAAGCAGGTGTTAGTGTACAACACAGAAAGCGTATTTGTTCACATACTAATTGAGACTTCAAGCTAACTACTCTAGAAATTTTGTAAGTGCAATGTAATTATTGAATTTAACATGTAGAAAGCTAAAAGTGATCTTTTGTGATTTAAGGTTGATCCTATAACAAGAAATAAAAGTGACTGTAGCATTCTGCAGATTCAGTAACTCAGGAAAAGTTACTTACTATACTACTTGCCTCTCAAATGTAACATCCTACCCTTACAGAAGGAAGTCATGGAAGTCTTTGATTCTCAAACTCCAATCACACATGACAATCCAAGGCACTTTTAAAACATCAGTGTTTTTTGCATTCCTCACACCACCCCCAATGAAATAACTGTAAATCTAATTCTGGATCTTTAATTGTTTGATAGAACATTGAATAAATGAATAGGAGAAACTGTTTTAGCCAAGACAATTTAGAAAAAAACATTTTACTGAAAAAAGTTACAAACTTTTGTTGTTGAGACAGCTTTTTCTTGTAGTCTTTGCATTTCTTCTTCTTTTTGCTTGCATCATACTCCCCCTTTAGTTGAAACTTTGCTACTTCAACATGCAATTTGTAGCCTCTAATCTCATCGTCATCCAGAAGTCTTAATGCAAGTTCAACTGATTCTCGCTATTTGAAGATAAAGCAAATTATAAGCAGCCTTGAAACAAGCATCAATGTGAAGATTTCGATATAAAAAAATCGAAAAATGAATTCCTCTATACCCAAACATAGCTTGAACCGGTTTACAAAAATTAATGTCAAATTTTAGCTACTTTTAATATTGTTTTAGTCTGGCCCCCAAATACTTATTTCACCAGTGACTTAACTTGTCCCCCCAACTGCAGGTCACCACGTCAAACAGGGGTCCTAATGTGGAAGATTGTGTACAAACACAAAAAAAGATGGTGCCTAATCAAAAGAACTCCCAAAGCTTGCAGTTAAGTGAAATATGAGTGAAAACAGGTGGGTACAATGGACGGAGCACAAGGTAAAAATTGTGAACACTATGACCAGTGGTCATCTCATGGCATCCAAGTGACCTTCAGAGATCTGTATCAACAACATCTAATAATGACCAGTAGAGGTTGATAACTGTCAAAAAAGGTTGCAGCAGTGTTGTAGCCATGCTGATCCCAGGATATTGGGGAGAGAAGATGAGGGGTATTTTTTATTGGGCCAATTTCTGTTGGTAAAAAGACAAGCTTTTGAGTTAGAGAGCTCTTCCAGTCTGAGAAAAGTTACAGAGTTACATATCTGATAATAAAGTATTTTATCATGAAGCAAAGCCAACACACAAAAAAGCAATATTACAGAATGCACCACTGACCTTGAGATAACAACAGAGGCCATCTCCTTTAAGATTTCCTTGCTTATCTTTATAAAGTTTGATTTTATGTTCTTCAGTCACAGGATCTCTCATAATGATACCACACTTTGACATAACCTGTATAAATTCATCCTTTGTAATGTCTGGAGGTAAACCTGCAAAGTAAACTCACCCATATAAATCTAGAATGCGGTTATATAGTGAAATCCAAATCCAGTTTTTCCAATACCACTAAGTCCATTTTTTAAAAAGGCATCATTATATAATGGGTGAGATTTTACATGTTTGAAATTAAATGCGTGTTAACTGCAACTTAGTTTTGAGCATATGTTTTATTTCTTGTTAACTGAATGTTTGGTAATCTTTCTGCTTTTTAAATAAGTGACGTGGAAATGTTATGGTTTCTATGGTAATCATTAACTTCTGAGTTTCCTGACCTCTGGATGTAAAGTCTGTGTTGCATTAAATGTTGTTGGACTTAGTTTCCTTGATATCCCAAAACAATGACAAAGCAAATACATTAACCTATCTGCAAGTAACTATATTAACCAATGCACAGTTTTCCCACTGTGCACATTTGGAAATCTACATTTTCATTGGGACAGAAAGACACTGCATAGCCAGTACAATTGTCACTCTTACTATTTTTTTCTAATTTAGCACAACATGCCTTCATGTAAGACTCTGAACATATTGACATTTGAAATTTTTGAACCACTAAGTTATTTGAGCAGAAAAAAGGCATTTGAAATATTTTTATATTATGAAAAATTCCTGAGTTAGCTAAGCCTAGAGAAAGGAGAGATCCACATTTTAAAATACACTGCTTCAGTTGCATGTTTTTCTTGTGTTCAGGTAACTCAAAACAGCCAGTTCTATTACCTTTTTAAACAAATTCATCTTTGGACTGAGAACAAGCATGAAAATATGCAAAAAGATATCATCATTAATGTTAATAAGCACCTGCATACAGAAATAGTATTTAGATCACGAAGGGATGAATTACAGAAATACTGGTATAAAATACATTGTTCCCTCAATCAAGCCTCCTCCTTACTTTCTCACTCTTCTCTCATGTTATACCCCTCCCATTTCCACCACAGATATCTTCTTCAAAACAAAACCCCATTTTGAAAATGAGAAAATATTAAAGATATACAAGAACAAAATACACAAGATGCATGCACAACTAATGAAACCAACGTTATCCTGTTGTAACACTGCCTTCCCTTCCCCTTTTTATTCTGGGTTTTGCCTGCACTAAGATCAAGTCCTAGTCTAGACCAGCAGTTTTCAGCCTCTCTCTTTAGGAGACCCCCATAACATGCTATCAAAACTCCATGGCCCATATGTGCCACAACTGTTTTTCTGCATACAAGAGCCAGTGTTGGGGGTAGCAAGCAAGGCAATGCCCTAAGGCTTTGTGCCACAGGAGCCCCAGCAAAGCCACATTTACTCAGGCTTCAGCTTTGTCCCCAGGCGGCAAGGTCACGGCCCTGGGCTTCAGCCCCATGCAGGAGGAATTTGGCTGCCTGCCAGGTCACCAGTTAGTCTAATGCTGGCCCTGCTTATCAGATCCACTGAAACCTGCTCAAAGCCTCCCTAATTGGACTCAGACCCCTGTTTTTGAATCACAGGTGATTCTCGAGTTGTGTTCATGTACCATGGCAATCTACAGAAACTTGCTGGTGGTTCTTGGAATACTGGCTGGTCACACTGAATTCTCCCTGTTTCAACCAGCTAAATTTGTTTTCAAAACGTAAATGTATTCAACAGTTTCCGAGTACAGTAAAACTCCGATGATCCGGCATCTGATGGTCCGACACCATCAGGAACCCGGAAGTGCTCTGGGCAGCCGGACCATTGGAGCTGCTCTGCCCCCAGCTTTCCCGATTCAGCTGCTGCTAAAACTGACTAGCAG